GGGGGGGGGGGGGTACTCCGCCAGAATCCGGGTAGGGACGTTCCCCTGGGATTCTTAAAGGGGTACCCTGTTTATGACAAAAAAACTCAAATTTGTAGACCCTGTTTATGACAAAAGATATAATTTATTGCATTGAGTTCCTGTTTCAATTATCATGTCATCTCGCGTATCGTTTTTTACGACCATAATAATAGTTTCGGTCAATACGAAAGTAGAAACCCTGAATATGACAAGAAACTCAGGAAGAACTTGGAACTTGAGTGAAATTGCATACCCTGTTTATGACAAGAAGCTTGAAAAACCATACCTTGTTCAGCGGATCATCCCCGTATAGTCAGATAGTCCATATATGGGAGAACCACCCCTCCCCCCCCCCTTGGGCTTTACAGGTTCTGTTTTAGGCACATTCGAGATTTTAAGATTCTAGCATGATACCAAAGGCTCTTCAGAATAAATTGTTCAAAATTCCAAAAAGATTAGTTGATAATAGTGCAGATAGATACAATTATGTAACATTATAGAGAACTGTGAACTGACTGGCATTTCTACCCAAACTTGAATTTCTTATCATTGCTGCTATCGTATCTAGGATTCAAGAAGATGCGCCTTTTTCTATACTGGGTCACGAAATAGAGAAGATGAACCTTTTTGCTATACTAATCAGCTATTTAGGGGCTGAAAAAGGGGAAGGGGGGGGCATGCACACCCTAGGACTCCCCTTTAGATATACCCCTGTCTATATTACATTATTTTATTCCTACCAATAGATGTATTTGGGGATTAAAAACAAAACAAAAAAAACAAACAAAAACAAAAGAAAGTTAAAATATTCACACCTGAAAGAATCAACTCCAAAGAGTGGCATCAGGTGGTCTGAAATGTAAGTTACACTAAACAACAAAGCTAGATTTTTTGTAATTTTTCCTGTTGGCAAATCAAATCCAGGAACTTGCAACTTCCAGTAGCATTAGCTTTTCAAAGGCTTTGGGATAAGAGCAGGGTCATAGCCAGGATTTTCCAAAGAGGGGGGGAGGGGGGCTCTAATTTGAAAAACCACCATTTTGCTTGGTCCCCTGAAATGCTGGACAAAAGAAAAAGACAAAAGAGCTGTTTAAATTTAATTTATGTTTTAATTTTGCAAAACTTAGAAAAAATTTAAATAATCATATAATTCTAAAAAGCTGCCATTTTGTTGCCAAAAAGAGGGGCATGGCCTCCACAGTCCCCCTGCCTACACCCTTGAAGAAAATACTCAAATTTCCATTTACCAAATGGAAAAAAAAAAATCAAAGAAGACTTGGAGCAAGCCTATTTATCAGCATAAATAGAATCTTTTTTCTGTAATCAGGTAACACACAGCTATATTTGACTAATTTTAAAACAGTCTATTATTCATTTGTTCATTAAATATTCTTTATTGTTCATTTTCAGAATTTTACCGTGTATCTCCCTGTAGATATGCAGCAAACACATGGTGGGGGAGGGGGTGGGAGAGGGACTGAGGGGGTGGGGGAGGTACTGAAGGGTGTTAGGCTCCCCATGTTTTGCTAATATACTCAAAACTATAATATTTAGCAATTATTCGCCGAAGCCAAAGTGAATATCGGGCAATATTTACTGAGATGCAACTCAATATTCCAAGATTCAGAGGTGAATATTGTACAATATTCACCTCCAATTAACCAATGAACACGCGYGTTCTTAGGAAGTACACAAGTTGGTATATGCTAAAATATAATATACTCAAAACTGTTAGGCCTCCGCCTGCCACTTTTAGTCTTATACTTACCTCAAACACATGAAAAAATGACTTCTGGGTCTGAAACAAAAAGTACTTCTATAAATAGTTTTCTTACTTTTTCTTCAAGACAAGATTTGTTGTCCAAAATTGTTTAAGGTGGAGGTTAAATCATTGAAAACGTTTTTGTCTAAATCTGGACCTGAAAATATGTAACAACTTAACAGCTGTCAGGCCATGGAGCACCCTTAAAAAGTGGGGGAGGTGCTAAGATTGGAAAATATATGAGACTAGTAAATGTAAGAGCCATCCACTCTCCACTGCCTCTGGCTCTATACAGTCCTGAAGGCCCAGGGTAAGATTAGCTATTCGCTAAACCTGGTGTATTTTAAAAATACTTTTTAAACCTTCTTAAATAAAGTTATTATTATTAGTCCTTGATATGCCACTCCTTGATATCAATCATTCATTTCCATGTCATTYTTTACAAGGTATCAAAGCAGCCCTAGCGGCAACAGATAACAAACTTGGAAGAGTTCGTGTGTTAGGGACCCCGGCTGAAGAAGGAGGTGGTGGAAAGGTGTTGATGATCAAGAATGGGTGCTTCAAAGATGTGGATTTCTGCATGATGGTCCATCCTTGTCCCACAGACTCTACAGTGCCAAGTGTTCTTGCTCGTGAAACAGCCTTTGTAACCTACAAGGGGTATGCAGCTCATGCAGCAGCATTTCCCTGGGAAGGCATTAATGCATTAGATGCTGCTGTTATGGCATACAATAGTGTGAGTGCCATGAGGCAACAGATGAAACCAACCTGGCGAGTACATGGTGTGATTTGTGAGGGTGGAGTCAAACCCAATATCATCCCAGATAAAACTCGCCTAGAGTTTTTCTTCAGAGCTCCAACAGATGGAGAAATTGATGAACTCAAGCAGAAGTTGGCTGGTTGCTTCGAGGGAGCTGCTAAAGCTACAGGTTAGTGAGAGATCATTCAGATTGGGAATCAAGGGTGGTGTAGGGGTAGCGCACTCACGTCTCACCTCTGGTGTCCCAGGTTCGATTCCTGGCCTCAGCATCACATGTGAGTATTGTTTGTTAGGTCCCTCCCATGATATGAGGGATTTTCCCCAGGTTTCCTCCCTCTGCAAAATCCAACACCCTTAATTCCGAATTGATATTGCGCTGACCGTGCTCACTCCAAAATTTGATAAAGTTTTATAACTTATGGTTGAACTTTATAAGATTTATTATCGAACATTGGAGGTACCAGGTTTGTTGGCCTTACTTTCCTAACTCAATTTCAAATCCAGGAGCTACTAAATTTTCACATTTCAGCCATATATGACTGCAAATTTAGATGAGAGAACGACTAAAACAAAGTCAACATCGAGAAAAATCGTAAAAGAATTTCTACTAATATAATATGGGTCTTACCCTCCGCAAAAAGGCGGGGAAATTTGACTTCCGGTTACTTCATTTCGCAAAAGAGCGGGAAACACTTGACTTCCGGCCAGTTTGTACTCGCGTTTTCTCTGCAAAAGAGTGGGAAACACTTGACTTCTGGTCGATTGTTCCCGCGTCCACCGTCGGGAAACGAAAAACGGAAAACAGGGGGACATGGCTTAATTCGCGTGTACGTCTTCAAAAGTAAAGTACTTTTCTGTGACATTTTTGCTGATGCCATAAACCAATCGTTCGAGAGTCGTTGTCTTTTCCCCAACTACGATAGTATATAGGAAAATTTCAACTGAACAAGAAGGCAAATCAAATATCAATTAACTTTTAAACCCTCTAGCAAAGGCTTGCTAGTAAGTTTTGTTCTCACTAGCAACAATTTCTAAGTCACTAGCAATCGATCGTGGCGAATAACAAGCTTCACTTGATGCAGGTTCTTAACTTTTCAGTCCTTCAATTTCTGGACTGTGGTCATACTCACAAAACTAATACACCTATCAGCGGCTTTCCCGTGGGGTCGACCCCCGGGCTGACCAGGGAGATGGGCGAGAGAATATAGGAGGATTAGATCCAGTTACTCTTCCTGGGGTTGGGAAAATTTGTGACATTGGTTTCGTAGTTAAAAACTGAGGTGGGGGATTGTAATGAAATAATTTTCATTGCGGAGGTTACCAGGGGGATTGATTTTCCTCTCTAGTTATATATCAGAAATAGCTCCTGATTTTGAGACCACGTACATTTTTGGTCGGGCTGGGTTACCTGTGTTGTTCGCCAATACCCAGATGCCACTCTGCTCGTCAAGATTGCTGAGGAGGCGAGAATTTCACTGTGAAGTACATGTTTTTTGACATTCTTTGTTGTTTCATAGATACGAATTCGAAGGCAACTTGATTTTTAAATGTGATTTCTTCAATTCATGAGAGTTTATTTTCAATCTTTCAATGAAAAGTACCTGAAATATCGAGCATGGTTACGTGTTGAGTTCAGTTTTCAAAATACAATAATAATAATTTCAACCAAAATGAGGGAGATCGTAGATTACTGAATGCCTCGACCAGGGGACATTGAAAAGAACACTTCCCTACCCCTAGGGAAAATGATCAATATTCTTTATGATTTTTTACGATCTCCCTGGTCAGCCCGGGGGTCGACCACACGGGGAAGCCGCTGATAGGAAGTAGTGGTTAATTCAGGACGCAAATAATCAAAGACATACAAAACTTAGCCGGTACCATCAAAGCAGGTGAAATTAAAAGGTTCAGTCAGGAAATTATCTGCGCATGCTCGAGTAATTGTCTGGCTCTTTTTACTTTGGGCGTGAAAGGTAACATTGTATCAAGTCTTTCTATTGAGATTTGATTATGTAAAATTTCGTAAGATATCACAAATTATCAAGCTATATTTTTAAACTTTCTTGTTCATAATCCATTTAGTTTATATTTAAATTTAGCAAATTAGGAAATCTTAACAAACAAAAACTTACTCCCTTTTTAAGTTTTACGTTTTTAATTAATGATAAAGAATTAGAAATCTCAAGCATAGAAGAACTCATAGCATATATTTTGAATAACAGGGGCTGCGCAGGACAATATTTTGAAATGTGAAGTGAATTTTATCCAAATAACTTAAAAAATCTTTAGACGTGATAAATATATAAAAATACTTTTTACATTAATTTTGCCCAGTTTCTTCTTAAAGTTCAACTGTTGCCTCAATTTACATTTTCCTTCAAACTGATCATTTTTACAAACAAACTGATCATTTTTACAAATTTTTCAACACTTTCTTTTCTAATATTTTTTTCACGTGTTTTCTTTATTTTCATCGTTTCTTATAACTAATCATTTCTATCTCTTTCCATGAGATCACATCGTAAGTCAAAYGTCGTCATTTTTATACCATTGATTTTAGCTTCAATTTGGTATTTTTCGATTTCTTCACAAACAGCTAGTCTTCTGGAGGGACGCTTTCTGAGATACTCGTGAAACAGAATGTCCTCTTCAAGACTTGAATACGTTGAATCAGTAGAATGCTTTTTCTCTGTGACATTTCTGCTTGCAATGCCTTCAACAAACCCCAAAGAATCGTTGTCTGTTCCCTGGACAACGATGAAATTGACTTTGCGATAAGGACGACACATTCTTACAGCAGTGTGTTGTAGTTCATTGGGGGAGTGAACTTCATTTGGTATGTCATCTATCTCCATTTCTTCATCATTATCATCTTCTTCTTCTCCCTCCTCGTCGCTTTCTCCTTGTTCTTCTTGTTTCTCATGATAAAAACAGTCTGTATTTTCTGAGGTAAATACTTCTCCTTGTTTAACCTCAAATGAAAAATCCTGTCGCGTTGGTGGAACAGCCGATGGGGCTTGGTATAAAAAAAACGGAGTATCAACCCTGCCTGCAACCACCTCTGTCGCATTCTGGTCATTGTGTTTGGTGTCATCAATATTATTTCTTTTTGTTCTTCTAAATGCTTGSCTGCGTGTCAGCTTGAGTTTTGGTGTTTTGGAGGCGTTCAAGTCAGTCTTTTCTTCCTTAGGCAGTATTTCTTCAGCAGTTGACAATCCCTTAGTGGCTTTTCTTATTGTCATTTGCTGCTCATCTCGAATTGTTTTAGATGGCAACTGACTCAACGGCTTTGAAAAGTCCTTAGTCGAACAGTCGAAAGAAGGATCATCTTTGATAAAAATGTTTCTAGTCAACTCGTCATATTTTGGTTTAGTGGGTGACGAACTATTTGTTAAAGAGGAGAACGATTCGAGACTTAGTTTCTTGTGCAATTGCTGACGAGTTGAGTTCTCCATGACTTTAATCCCCTTATAACGATCCTGATACTGCTGTAAGACTAACCTAAAAGTGACCGGTTTTGAAAGGGAGCCTGCTTTTAAAGATCAAAAATGACGTTACTTGTGACGTGGCGATGTTAATAATAACTCATTAACCGTAGAGACTTTTCTTAACGGACCGTAAACAAGAATTTGTTTTCTCCTTTTTTTTTTTTGTTTCCCCCTGTATTTTTCTGTCTGTTTGTGTCGTTTTTCGATAACAAAATTAATGTTCCATCTCTTTTTTGAAGAACTACAAGGTAGACAGATTTGGATTTTTGTTTTGCTTTTGTTTTTGTTTTTGTTTTCCATTTTTTTATTTTGTTTTGTTGCCTGTTATTTTGTGCTTTTTTGTTTTGTTGTTATTTTTGTTTTTGATTCAATTTTTGTAGTAGTATCACAGAATAGCACTCTTGAACTTGAACTGTATTTTTTAAAATATATACCTAGATTTTGATATGAATCGAAAGCTTTAATCTAATTTGTAAATAACAAATAAGCGAGTGTCTAGTGTTAGTCCTGAAATGAAATGACAAGTTGCACAGTAAAGACACTGTGAGGTGGAGCTAAACACACGTTACTTACATGTTATATAAGAGGGTGTGTCGTGTCGCCAGTACTGTTACATAACAATTAGACCATGTGATAGTCTGCTTCTCAAAAAAAAAATCTAAATCCAATTCACAACAAATCACATTTTTGACACCAAATAACAGATGAATTGATGAATTCTGGATTTTAAACTGTTTCTTGTTAACTCCTGAACTACATGATTTGAAAGAGGAAAATGTGAAAATTGGTACAGATTCTATTGTTTAAATACTCAATCGCGATTGGCTAATTTGTATGGAAATTTGTCTGGGTACATAATACACGATACGCTAAAATTTTCGTTTGATTATAAAAACTCCAAGAATTTTAAAGAAAAATTATAAGATCTTAAGCGTTTTTGACCCAAGTCGTCAGAAAATTTGATTTTTCAACTTTCCTTCAAATTTAATTTAAATAATTCGTATTTTTTGTTTCACGGGTTAAATGCCTTCACTCTAAAAAATAGAAACGAATAATAGACAATAATATGAGCTTCATTTGGAGCCGCCTTTTCAACAGATCAATTACACGTGTTTTTACACGTGAAGATAATTTCGTTATCAGTCTTTATTGCTTACTGCGCATGCTCGACGAAATAATAGACCGACTTCAAAATACTGAAATTCTAACACGATAATTTATTTATTTATTATTATTAATTTATTAATTTATTAAATTGCTATAGCGCTATATACATTAACTCTATAGCGCTTAACAACTAGGAAAAACATAATAATAATAATGATAATAAAAATAGATATATATAAATAAAATTTCAATATGTATATAAAGAAAAAAGAAAAAAAAGCTAAGAAGGTGAAAAATTATAAACTATATTAATAGCATATTATATAAAAAATGCTCAGTCCATTTGTAAAACTTAACATATGCAACAATCACAGTCTTTTCCCTTGGGAAACTGAATCCTTTCTATTGTGAATCAGACTAGACCAGAATCAATTGTTCATGCCCCCCTGTCATGGCTGCTATCACGTGATGGTGCAAAGCCTGTATTATTGACAAAGGTAGGAACGTCGTATATGGTACATCATTCTATTCTTACCAGTAATGTATTTAATAGTGATCCACGTTTTTGTACATG